AGTGGCCTGCCCAAGATCCCCGGGTGGTACAGACCGCCCTGGCCCCCGCCCGCGCCGCGGCGCCGCCCCGCGGCGGGGGGGGGCAGACGGCAGACACATGGTAGGCAGGAAGGAGACAGAGACATGGACATGTAGAGTGAGATTGAAATATTTATTCAAGGGGTTATGAAGGAGAAAGGGAGGGAGGCAGAGAGAGAAAGGGAGGGGGAGAAGGAGAGGGAGAGAAAGAAAGAGAGAGAGAGAAAGAGAGAGAGAGATGGGGAGATGCACGCAGCCCCCAGACGACAGCAGTAAGAATATGTGTTCCAAGATGGCGGGGAGAGGCCAGGGGTCGCCGGGAGTGGGCGTGGCTTGCCCCTTAAAGGGCCAAAAGAATAACAATATGACTATACCAACCTAAGCTTGTGGACATGACGATCTCAATACACTACAATGACAGACACCTAAAAACCTAAGCTAAATTTGTCAGCCTGTCACAATCCGTGGCAGGACTGCTGAGCATGGCTGGTACCCAGCCGAGGTACAACAGGCAGTGAAGGACCGTCCTCCTGGTCCCAAGTCCCCAGTGAGACACAGCCTTGCAGTGGAGAAAATGGCTTGCACCCCTCCCTGCTCCCAGCTTCAGCTAGCCAAGCATATCCTGGTCTCTAGCAGACAGTCAAGCTACAAAAAAGCAAAGCTAACAGCCCTATCCTAGCAGACAGCTTGGGGTGGCAGCAACAGCTTGGCCCTGCCTAGACAGGTGTCTACAAAAATATAAATAAGCAAGTTGAGCCTGTCAGTTAGGCAGACTTATAGTTTGGATTTAAAAGGTAGCTTACAAGTGTTTGATAATATATCCAATGGCCATAGTTTTATTTATTGTTACTTACAGGGGAGCATGAACCCTTCGATAAATCATTAAATAAAAAAAAATATCATCAGTCGCCACAAAATGCCTTAAATCATGCCCACTTACTCTAAACTTTTTAAATGTGGATACTGGTGAGCAGTCTGCCACAGATAGATTTTGGCATGATGGCACCAAGGTGACCTTTGCTAAAGTAAGGTGAAAAGACCCTAGCCCTGGGTTATAGAAAGGACCTGATCCAGTCTTAACATGGGATCAAGGGCATATTTGTGCTTTTTTTCATAGGAAATGATGAGGTGAAGATGTGCTATACAGAAGGATGCCAGCCCTGCTGACATAGCAGCCGCTGATGACTCCACAGAAGTAGCGGAAAGAGATTCCTGCATATAACATCACGGTGCAATCTGAGAAGGGAAAGAACATTGTGCCGATGACTGGTGATTCCTAATTTCTTGGTGGACCTACTGCACAGTCTTCCAGACCTTGATGTGTCTTGTTTACTTTGGAGCCACTCCAAAGACACTGACAAAAGATTTGACAGTTTATCCATACTATATCTTGGGACACAGAACTCATTTTGCCAGTGTGGTATTCAATCTGCTGTTGAAACAAAGGACCTAAAAACTGAGACCTCAATTTTCCCCTCTGAGGAAAAAAAGACTCATTACAAAGAGTGACTGAAGCCCCCCTTCAGAGATGAGGAGGGTAGCCTAAAGTTTTTACTGCTGCTCAGAGACTTGGACAATTGCTTAGAAGAAGAAATATAGTTAAGACTCTCACCCATCACAAAAACCTTTTCTTGGCTAGGCAGTGGTGGCACACGCCTTTAATCCCAGCACTCGGGAGGCAGAGGCAGCCTGGTATACAAGAGCTAGTTCCAGGACAGGCACCAAAGCTACAGAGAAACCTTGTCTCAAAAAATAAACAAAAAAGAAGAAGATTTTTCTTGTCTTTTGATTAAAATGGATTTAAGAGAATTATGATTTGACAAACTGTGTGTTTGTTGTTAATTTCCACACTAAAATTATATTGACCTGTTAACGTTTGTAACTGCTTTGGTTCACTATAAGATGCTACTGATTTTTTAAAAAAAAAGATTTCAATTTGTCTAAGAAAAGTTTGACCTTACCGACAAGTTCTTGGATTGGACGTGTTTAATAAGGAAAATTTAGATTTTGATACAGCTGAAAACTGTTAAGATACACCCTAGACCAATTCAAAAGGGCATTCCCACTCCTGGTGATCCTCCACTCCTTTAATTAGGAGATACTGTAACCGTAGGCGTGTGTGTAACACAAAGCACTATCTGTTTGTTTATCATTATCTAATTGCTGATGAACTTGCTTGACAGAAATTTGACTCAGAAACAGAGCCCAGAGGTGCACTCTTCCTTAACCCTTTGCTTACAGAGGCCGACAGTCAGAGATGGGTAAGATCTTTACCCCCACCCATCCACCAGGCACCTAAGACAAGGGCATCCATGAATAGAACACATGTAACAAAGACAGGTAAGTCTCTAAAATAAAAAAAAAAATGTTCACCTAAGACAGATGCAATCATCTGTAGCGAAAGCTCAGGCTTTATTAAAATTAGTCAAAAGGAAGAAATATGTTGAGGCCCAAAAATGTGAACCTATTACACTGTCTGGAGGTCAGAGAGTTTCAGCGTGCTCAAAGTTGTTGACAACAGCTGTGGCTACACACCCTGACCTAAAGAGTGCTTACTTGGTGTTTTGAACATTAAGATGGCCCATAGAGGTATCCTTTCCACCTGACCAAAGGTCAGAGAGTTCAAGAATCCTTCTGCTTCTTTTTTTGAATTAGGAGGTTTGACCTAGGGAGTGGCTGCCTTCAGAATACTTGGTCTAGGGTGGGTTCACTGCCTAAACAACAGAATACTTTTCTCATGAATTAATGACTTGCCATCTCAAAGCACTGAAGAAAGTAATGTCTCTAGTTGCCTTTTATATTGTGTTAAAGCAGTCTTTTTGCCCCCCTTTTTTGTATTGGGGAGAAAAGTGTATGGAAAATTAAACACGGGCGAACTCAGAAGTCAAAAGAAAATTCAATATTCAATATTCATTGACTCGCCATCCCAATACTATCCTAAGTCTCTGTGATTCTTTCTTTTCTCTGTTACCAAACTTCTCTTATCCTCGTGCCCCTACCCTGAAATATATGCAACCTCTGTGGCTAGGACTGCAGCAAAAGTCACACTAAAAAGGTGGCAGATGGGAGAACAAAGGGAGTGCAGGACACAGCCTAGCAATGACCTGGGCTATCTCGGACATATGGCAGTCAATGGCACGGCTTACAACATTGCCCTTCTTCAATAATAGCTCGATTAACTATCACATGCCTTATGACATCTCTCAAGTATCATTGTGTTAGCTTTGCTGGAGGATGGGGCTGACCACACAGGCGACATGGGGTTTAGAACCTCCGAAGGTCACATGGAAACACTTCTCAAGTCTTCCAAAGTTTGCCCTTTTCTTCCAGCTCCTTACAGTGTGTTTGGGAACAAAATGCTCGCCTCCTCCCAGGCACAAACTTTTGCTAAAAAAAAGGGGGGGGGATGGGGAGGAGCTGGGCCTGGTGGCATAGACCTGTAATATCAAGTCTGCACAAAGCTGAATGAAAAGACTGAAAGTTCAGGGGCAGCCTGGGCAACTTAGTGAGACTCTTTCTTGAGAAAGAAAAAGGAAATTGTTTAAGAGGACTAAAAGGAGCTGGACAGTTTGGCACATACCTTTAACCGCAGCACTCAGAAAGCAGACGCAGGTGGATCTCTATGAGTTTGAGGCCAACCTGGTCTACAGAGCAAGTCCCAGGACACAGTTACACAGAGAAACCCTGTCTCAAACGCCCCTCCAAAAGAAAGGAGGACAAGAGACTGGGGTTCAATGGTAGAATGCTTCCTAGAGCACGAAGGCCTCAGGTTCAATTTCAGCACTGCCAAGAAAGCAAAGGACATATTGAACTACTTTGTACAGGGACACTGGGTGGTAGCACCACATCTTGACCAAGTTTGGGCCACAGTTGGGCCACCATGGAGCCATGGGGGACTTGGCACTATTGGCAGTGCTGTGAATTTGCAGGTAAACCTTAAAAGTGACTCATATAAGTAAACAATAGGACCTAGCATTTGAGAGTACTTATCATATGCTGGAGTTGAGTGAATTCCAGTTATTAACTCATCAGTTATCAAAACCATTTTCTCTTTATTTTTCAAAGAGATAGAAAGAGAAAGGTATCATATTGTGGGGTGTCCTCTAGTGAAGACCTCTCAGACACGGTTTACAGACAATTGAGTATCTTTATTCTAGCAGGTTGGGGCTACACTAAGATCTTTGGAACTCAAGTGCAATGTGGAATGTTTAGAGTAAGTTGGCTGTTTTGTTTTGTTTTGTTTTGTTTTGTTTTTAAAGATAGTATCTCACTTGGCAGCTGCAGGGGCAAGTTTTGCACAAGCACACAGTTTAACAGAAGCTAAGGTAAACAGTTAACTGGAGGGGGAAGTTCCTACAAGCAGACTGTTTAACAGAAAATAAAAGTTAACTGAGGCAGCTTGACCTCAGGTTTCTAGAATAGAGTTAAATAATTTTCCATGAGATTCTCCATCAGAGATATCAAGTTCTGGTTAACCTAAAATGGCCTCAGCAAGAATACAAGATGGAGGAACATCTACACTGTTTGTCTTGTCAACAAAAAGAAAGAAGTAGCTGTGTGGTGGTTGTGCACACCTTTAATCCCAGCACTCAGGAGACAGAACAGGTAGATGTATGAGTTCAAGACTAGCCTGCTCTACAGAGTAAGTTTCAGGACAGACAGGGCTACACAGAGAAACCTATCTCAGAAAAAGGATGAGGGGGTGGGGAGGCAGAGAAAAGAGACAGAGGAAGGGGCAGAAGGAAGACTAAAGGAAAGGAAAAATTCAAGTTTAAGTCCCATGGTGCCGTTCACTTATCATTAGACAGTAGGTACCATTCAACCATTGTTTTTTAATATTTTTTATTTTTGATTAATTATTTCTATTTTATAGATGAGTACTCTGCATATATATTTGAAAACAAAAGAAGACATCAGATCCTATTATAGATGGTCGTGAGCCACCATGCAGTTGCTGGTTATTGAACCTAGGACCTCTGAAAGACCAGACAGTGCTCTTAACCTCTGCACCATCTCTCTATCCACCCACCTCCATTCACTTTTTGTTAGAACACTCATCTTTGAGTTTCACCTTCCCAATCTGCAAAATGAGTATGCAGCCAACATCTCACTGGGTGTCCATGGGACAATGGAGACAAACCTGCTGCAGAATATTGGCCACCGTTCACTTCCATTTTCTTCACTGACAAATTGAGTTGACGTGAAAAATATTTAAGTTCCCTCCAGCCTTGAAAAGTAAGGCTTGGTATTCTTTATTTTTAGATCCAAGTACGGAGCAATTGCGGCTGAGGGGTTGTCAGTGAAACCCATCTTAGTACAGCTATGATGGCCTGATTTGAAGAAATGTAGCATCCTTTATGTTGTCAAGTGACGTCAGTGTTGGTGCCGGTACTTTCTATACTGGAAGAATACTCTTAGAATAGCACACATTCCATCACCACCCCCCATGAGCTGTCTACCCTGAGTTGGCCACTGAGACCGGTTTACAGGATCTTCATCCGGCATCGACCTGGAGGGAGAAACCCCGCATCTACCTTGTCAGCTCCTCTATCAGCGAATCAGTTGTTTCCTGTGTTTCATTCTGAGTCCCTCAACTCCTTCCCTATCAGACAAGAGCCACAGACTTGAGGTTAATAGATTTTTCCATGAGATGATTTAATTTCTTGTTTCACTTCCCCTCCTTGCCAAAACAAGAAGTTAGAGCAGATCAGCCCCCACCCTGCGTCTGTATATAGATGAAGTCTGGCTGGCATCAGTGCCGAAATGAAACCAGGCAAGTGGCAAACCTAGACACGAACATCATAGGAAAAAAGGAAGCAGACAACATTCAGGGTTGTCACCGGTGCTGACTGCAGTGTCCACAATTCCTGTACTGTCTCTTAACAACTTAGTCCCAGAAAAATAAGGAACATCTCAAATGTCTCCGTCATTACAGAAGTCTGTGATATGATTGTGACAGAAGGAAAAAATTTATTTGGTGAAAATATACCCATTACCCCACTAAGGAATAGAACTGACCAAGAATATTTGCATCAAAATCACTACCCAATGAGCATGTCCATAGAAGAGACTGTGTTTCCTTCGGCTTATGTGGTAGTTGTCACAAAGACTAGCACTTTTGAAAGGCTCTTCAGGGCCATGTACACAACCCCAAATGTCTACTGTATTTACGTGGATGAGATGGACACATTGGTAATAGGTTCTCTGCCACCCCTTCCCATAATAGGTTTCTCTGCTGATGCAGTAAGCCAGACCAAGCCAAATCGAAAAAGCGTAACAACAGGTTTATTTGAGCAAAACAACTCCCATGTAGGTTCGATCCCAGAGATCAAAAGCTGGGGCAGCCACAAGCCTCAGCTAAAGCAGGGAAATAGGATAGCCTGTAGGCAAGGGGTGATGTCGTGTCCACCACAAGCTGGGTGTGTGCCCAAGTACAGTCAAAAACTGGAATGCTTAGGTGGGTACTTGGGCTGCTGGTGGCAACAGGAAAGGAAGTTGCAATAGTTGCCAGCAGTACAAACTGGGCTTTTTGGCATCTTTGTTGGAGATTCTCTGAGAAGGCAGGGTTTGGAGGGGCGGTGGGGATGGGGTTTTCTGGATCATGCAGGGGTCATCAGGAGGTTCCAACTGAACAATCCAATTTTAAGGATTTGATGAGAGGGCTTCTCACTTGCTTCTCAAACGCCTTTCTGGCCTTGAAGAGGGAATCCATGGTCCTTCAAAGGCTTCAGAGTGACTTGAACTACAGGGAAGACCTTGTGACCTCCAAAGTCCCCTGAAAGTACGTCCTCAATGCCTGTGGGCAGGACTTCCTTCCCCCTGAAACTAAAATAGTTCAGGGCCTGAAAGGGCTTAATGGGACTAACATTACCCAGGGCATCTGCCTCCTCCTTATAGCATCAGAAGGACTACGTATAAATACTTGGAACAGAAATACTTCATGGTGGACATGCATACAGAAATACCCTTCTCCTCATAACTTCAGCATTTGCTTTGGCTTTGTTTATGTGGCTCTGACAGGGGAATTTGTTAATTTTGTTCTTGTTTTTTTTCCCCTGAGACAGGGTTTCTCTACATAAGAGCCCTAGCTGTCCTGGAACTCGCTCTTGTAGACCAGGCTGGTCTCAAACTCACAGAGATCTGCCTGCCTCTGCCTCTCGCGTGCTGGGATTGAAGGCGTGTGCCACCCCCACCTGGCTTGAAGAGAGGGCCTTTGACTTACTTGCGTGGCCAAAGGATACTTACTCTCCTGAAGAACACTTCTTAGTAGCTGTGGCTGAGGACATAGCCTGTCAGAACCCCAAGGTCAAGTCAGTCCAGAGGCTTGAATACGACCCCCTGTGAGCTCTTACCACTGAACTGTATCCCCAGTCTTTGTTCATTTTCTGCATTGCTGAATGTCGTTTGGTCCCAGTGATGACATAATCTTGTATCCCACTGCTTTCCCTTAGCCGGCTGCCACACGACTTCTCCCAGCCCCCTGGAAGCAGGAACCCAGGGCTCCTGCTCTCACAGCCTGAGCAGACCACACCTTCCTCTCTGCTCTCTCGGTACTTGGCGTCCCTCCTGGTTCGCTTTGCTTTGTAGTGTGTAATGTTCGCATGCAGGGTATTGGATTCCATGACGACACTTGCATTCACACAGATCATTCTGCATTGTATACTTCTCCCCCATGGCCTCCCTCGTCCCCTCGTTTCGGCTGGTCCCTTCCCTCTCTATGAGAGTCTTTCTCCTTCTGTACATGCCGCCCCCAACAGCACTCCACGTATGACAGAAAGCATGATGTTTGTTTTTCTTCTTGTCCTGCTCTCCCATTGCACATTCCATCCTCTCCCATTGCACATTCCAGCTTGTATCCCTCCACTTACAAGCAATGCAGTGAACTGCCTTTGCCTCGAAGAGGCTAAGAGGATTGGGGGAGGGGCTCTGCGGAATACTTCCAGGTAATTTTATCCCTCTGGGAACCTGCAGAGAAGTGGTTGGGAAAATACATGAAGGAGGACACTGTAAGGACCTGGTTTGCCACCATTACATCCATCTAACTCCCCCCATGGCAGCTAAGACTCAGGAGACTCATACTCATTTGGGCTACACTTAGATTCTTCATTTCCAGAACCGAGTATAGTGTTGACCAGGGTGGGGTGGGGGGTTATATGATGGGATATGAGTGAGTGAATGAATTGCATTGGACCGTGACACCGAAGAACTCTGTTTCTAAAGGCATTTTTAATGAATAGCTTGTTGCAGGGACAGAGTCCTGGAGGAGTTGGAAGGGGAAGGGGGCGCATATAATCAAAATACATTGTATCCATATGTGAATGACAAAACAAAAATAATAACACGCTAATCATAATTTGTTTCTTACTATAACTTTCCACTTTTACTCAGTAAATTCACATTTGGGATATGATAAAGGATTATCGACTACATTTACATAAATATGGGGAAAATGCAAAGAGAAGTTAAAGCAAATGATATTTATGGGGTGTGGAACAATACTGGGGTTGGTATTCGTAAAATCAAAACAAGAAGCCCAGCACATGTGTATGCGGTCTTTATTCCAGCATACGCAGGCAAGGCATTCTTTCTTTTTATTTATTTTTCTCTCATATATTACACTGTAATTGTAGTTTCTCCTCTCTCCTCTCCTCCTGGTCCTGCTCTCTCCCGCTAGATCCACTCCTCCTCCTTTCCCTTCAGCAAAGGGCAGGCCTCACAGGGATATCAACCAAACATGGTAATATCAAGTTATAATAAGACTAGGCACATCCCCTCATACTAAGGCAGAATGAGACAACCCAGTAGGAGGAAAAGGATCCCAAAGGCAGGCAAAAGAATCAGAGACAGACCCTGCTTCCACTGTTAGCAGTCCCATAGGAACTGGAAGCTACATGACCATACCATATATGCAGAGGTTATAGATCAGTCCCATACAGATGCCTTGATTGTTGGCTCTGTCTCTGTGATCCCCTATGAGCCCTGGTTAGGTGATTCTGTAGGCCATTTTTGTGTGGTGTCCTGACCCCCCCCCTCCCCGGCTCCTGCAGTCCTTTCTCACCTTCCTCTGCAGGATTTCCTGAGCTCCCCTTAATGTTTTGCTGTGGATCTCAGCATCTGCTCCTATTAGTCACTGGATGAAGACTCTTTGATGACTATTAGGCTAAACTTTGGTCTACAAGTATAGTAGAACATCATTAGGAATCATTTCACTGACTTTTTCTTTTTCTTTTTTGCCCGTCCTGTTTGGTTCTATCCCTGGTCTCTGGGCAACCCAGTCTCTGGTTCCTGGCCATCTAGGCATTGTCAGTGAGGGGCTCCCTCTCCCACCATGAGTCTCAATTCAGAGCAGTCATTGACTGACTGCTCCCACAAGTTCTGCACCACCTTTAACCCCAGCTCATCTGGCCAGCAGGACCAATTATAGGCCGAAGGTTTTGTGGCTGACTTGGTTTCCCAACCCCTCCACTGGAAGCCTTGTCTGGTTACAGAAGATGACCAGTTCACCTTCCATGTCTCCCGTTACTAGGAGTCTTAGCTAAGGTCACCCTCATGGATTCCTGGGAGTTTCCGTTGCATTAGGGTTCTACCTTGCCCCTGAAATGCCCCCCAATTATCCTCTGAGAACTCTCTACGTCCATCCCACACCAACCTAATCCTTCCTGTCCCCAGTTCACATTATTATCTGTCTTACTATGCCGTTAGTACCCATTGATATCCTCAGTATGACATTTGACATTTTACGAAAAGAATGCTTATATTATACTCCCCAGTTCCCTTTTTGAAAATAAGTTTTAAAAATTCTAGAAACTAGTAGACAGCAAATCAGTCCTTAATATAAAATTCTGTAGAAAGGGACACTGGCAAGAAGAAAGGCAAAGATGGCTTATGCACTAGATGTGGCTTAAGACAGTGTGGTTTTTCTGTTTGTTTGGTTTTTGTTTCTGCTTTTTTGTTTTGGTTTTTCAAGACAAGGTTTTTCTGTAGCTTAGGAGCCAGTCCTGGAACTAGCTCTAGTAGACCAGGTTGGCCTTGAACTCACAGAGATCCACCTGCCTCTGCCTCCCGAGTGCTGGGATTAAAGGCCTGTGCCACCACCACCTGGCCTGTTTCTTTTTTTTTTTTTTTAAGACTAGGTTTCTCTGGCTGTCCTGGAACTCACTTTGTAGACTAGGCTGTCTTGGGTGTCCTGGAACTCAGAGATCTGCCTGTCTTTGCCTCCCAAGTGCTGGGATTAAAGGCCTGAGCCACCATAGCTCAGCAAGATAGTAGTTTTTAAAATCCTTGGACTGGACAGTTTTCTGTCCTCTTCTCCTATTGGTTGGAACTTACACTCCCAAACTCCAACTCCCCACCGCATTGGCTGAGGACACAAAGCCTCATCCAATGAAGAATTTGGGTTTGGGGTTGCCCCTCTCCCATTCTGATCTTTTTGACAAGCCTTTGTCAGAAATCAGCTAAGAGAGGGAAGGCTCTAATGCCTGCTTCAAGTCTTGAGAACTTAAGTGTATCTCAGGTTGCAAACAGACTGTAACAACTCATTTCTCACCCCTAGACAAGGTGAGAGGCTAAGAATTTAATAGATAATTGACACTCTGGATCTTAAAATGTATATTAACAAAATCCCTTCAAGAACATTTCCATGGAAGCTTGGACTTCCTGGAAAGTCCAAGTGAAAATGAGCCCCTGAACCGGGAACTAGCGAGATGGCTCACTGGGTAAAAGGGCCTATGACCAAGCCTGAGGACCCGAGTGCAATCCCCAGGACCCACAAGGTAGAAAGAAAAAAACTTAGCAGGGCCTCCTTCCTCAGCTGGTGACACATTGGCCAAACAGAATAAAGCACCTATTGATTTATTCTTAAATATTATTTTTAATTTTAAATATTATTTTTATTTATGAAAGAGCTGCGGACTGCTCTTTAAAACACAGGGGGACTGGGCAGTCTGGGGTTCCCAGGCCTGGTGACCCTGCAGCAGGACAAGCTATTCTTTTGAGTACAATTATGACTGAGCAGAACATTGAAACTGGAAGAAGGGAGGTGATGTTCCGTTTTGACACTCTTCCTAGTTGTCTCAGCCTTGTATGGATTTCCATCCACAACAGCCATCTTCCATTTCTCTAACGTCAAAGTCAGATTGTGGACTTGATGAGTACTGGAACTTTTCCCTACAATATGATGGCAGTGTGTAAGATATATCCCCATAATATAACACCAGTGTATAAGATATATCTGACACATAAAATCTATCCAACCATTAAAACACTTGTGACAGCTAAGCTTGGTTATGAACTTGACATATCTAGAACAAAGAAACCTCAGTTGATGAATGGCTTCCGTCAGATTGATCAGTGGGCATGTTTATGGGGCATTCTCTCTATTGCTAATGATGCAGGAGAGCCTGAATAACCGTAGATGGTAATACCCTCAGGCTGGTGGACCTAGGCTGTCTAAGAAAGGCAAGGCACCAAGGAGCACTCCTCCAGAGTCTGTGCTTCAGTTTCTGTCTTCAGGTTCTTACTTGAGTTCCTGCCTTGCCTTTCCTTCATGATGGACTGAGTTAGACCTGAGGGGGAAAAACATTTCCTTGGTTGTCTGATTAAAACAAGTTGTATTTAGAAGTGCACAAGGAACTGGCCAGACTGCCTCCCCCTAAGTTGGGGTTTCAGAGAGCAGTCCCTCACTGGCTTTTGAGGCCCCTTTTATGGGATGGGTTAGGTTGAGATTAATTGACGAGTAATAACGTGAATGGAAGAATGGGAGACTCAGAGCTCCAGGGTGCCTTCGGGGTACATCAGTTGTTATGGGATGAGGCTCTTGTACACTGTAAAGATTTGTCACTCGTATTAGTTTAATAAAAACACTGATTAGACAGTAGCCAGGCAGCAAGCAAGTATAGGCAGGGCAACCAGACTAAGAGAATTCTGGGAAGTGGAAAGGCAGAGAGTCAATGACCAGCCAGATGCAGAGGAAAAAGATGAGAGTGTCTCACTGAGAAAAGGTACTAAGCCTCATGGCTAAACATGGATAAGAATTATGGGTGAATTTAAGTCATAAGAGCTAGTTAGTAATAACCCTGAGCATTAGGCCAAACAGTTGAGGATTACTATAAGCCTCTGCGTGTTTATTTGGGACTGAATGGCTGTTGGACTGGGTAGGACAGAAACTTCTGTCTACAATAAGTGTGAGAATATATCATGTAGAAGAATATATATTATGTACAATAATATATCATGGACAATAAGTGTGAGAATATTTCATGTAGAAGGAAGGTCATCACAGTGTTCAGGAGTGTAGCAAAGGCAAAGGCGGTGGGCATATATCATGGGGTCACAAGTTCAACACAGTGAAAAACATGGTTTGCAGGATACATTATACTTAGGAATCAGAAACTTATTCTTATAAGGTATGGAGAATGACTATCATGGCTAACAATGTGACTCCCGAACAACCATGTGGCTCCTGTTCCGGTTTCATAGAAGTTGTCGGATGAAATAAACGCTTTCCTCGCCACGTTGTTATAAACAGCAATAGAAAACTAGAACAACACCCCATCTAAAAATAGAAATATACCCAAGTCAAACCTGATCATTTTCTGCAGCAAAGTGGGGCTGTCGAAGCTCCTGTGGTTTGGGGCTCCCCTCCTTCCTCAGCACTCAGCACACGAAGCCTGCAGCAGCCCCGGGCTTCTCTGCCTGCAGAGGAAGACAGGACGCTCGCAAGCACAGAAGGCCTTGGGCCTTTCGGCTCCAGTTCCAGCCTTGTTTACCTCACTGACATTTCTTGACTGGACTTGACAAGATGGACTGACGTCTCTCCTCCTTCCCCATTGCTCTGTTTCCAGTCACTTTAAGTTAAATCATGGAACCTGATCATTTTCTGCCCATTATCCTTTTCTTCCCCGTGGCTTGTCTTCAAGGTCTAAAATTAGCTTGGGCATCACTGGCCAGCCATGAGCGAGCGGGTTGGGGGGCGGGGTGGTGCCACGGTCTTCCCAGTACTGCAGGACATCAGTGTCGGTTATTTTAGAACTGAAAGAAAAGAAAAAGAAAGACTGAGACTCGTGGCTGACCTAACTCTGAAGGGAAACCAAATCCCGAAGCTGTCTGAGACAGAGCAGGTGGGAAGGGGCTTGTCTTCTCAAGTTCCACCCAGACGGAGCTTGGGAGCACGAGAACACATGACTATTGGAGGCTCCAAGCCTGTGGAGAGAGAGCCACCTCTTTTCACCCAACCCAGGGAACTTTTTAACCAGGCTTCCTGGCTATTTTAAAACCCCAGCGGGTCAGGCTATTTCCTGTGACTGCTAACACCAAGGAGACTGAGACCGATAGGGCTCAGAGCTCAGCTGTAGGAGCAAAGTAACTGGAGGAAGGAGGAAGGAGAGCAGGGAATGAGCCCAGCAAGATGCCCACAAACTCCACGTTAAAACACGAGTTTAATCTAGGTTCTTCTCTCTCTGAAACCTCACCAGGCTTTCCTAGATTCAGAAGTCCCAAGCAGTCTATTTAGCTGCAGATTTGGGCTCAGAGATGACGTCATGGTGAAATGAATTGTGGGAAAACTACCTGGGGTGGCATAGGTGAGCTGGATGAAATCCCCTCCCACAGGCGCTGGTGTAAATTCAGCTCTCAGTATAGTCGTCTTGATGTAATAAAAATTGGTTAATGTCCTTCAGTGAGAGTTTGTGATTATGCCCTAAGGATGTAGCAATATGTTCCGCTGACCTCTGAAACACCTGCGACCTGAGATTTAGCAAATGGTTAGCAGGTCTATACTGGTTCCTAACTTCTTTATTGTGCTTAGTCACCTCCTGAACTTGGAACGTGGGGTGTCGACTTTAATCTAATGTTCAAGCTGGATTGAACTGTCTCTGATCCTTTGGGTCACTTATTGCCCTGCCCTAATGGGAGAGCTTAGAAGTCAGAATGGCTGCCTCTGGGGTAATGAATGGCTCCAGATATGACAGGGCTGTAGAGATGATTCAGGAGGCTAAGAGCCACTAGCTGTGCTCACAGAAGACTTGAGTTTCGTTGCCAGCACCCACGGGGCAGTGCGCAGCTGTCTGTAACTCCAGTCTCAGGGAATTCAACAAGGCCTCCGGGCTTCCTCCAGCCTCAGGCACACACATGATACACATACGTAAATGTGGGTAAAATCTTATACACATAAAGTAAAAGTAAATATAGAAGATGAGAAAGAAAAATACAATCATCTTCATTTTTTATTATTTATGAGTATGTGTGCATGCATGAGTATGTACCTCTGTGTACACTTGGAGGTCAAAGGACAGCTATGGATGTCTTCTCTCCTGCTGTCCTGTAGGTCTCAGGGATTGAACTGAGGCGGTTCAGCTGGTTGGCAAGTGCCTTTCCTGATTAGCCATCTTACTGGCCCCTACCCATTCTTCTTGAAGTGACTAGTATTATTCAAAATTATACTGTAAATAATCACAGACATTTCTGGAAGGAGCCTTGTGGCGTTTCAGGTGAAGCGTAAGATAACACTGCAACTGAGTACCAGCATCTACATCTATGGCTTTGCTAGCCAAACCTAGGGAACTGAAAAGTCAAGGAACAGGCAGGCAATTCCAGATGCTTCTGTGTCTGTGATCTCTCCAGGGGTAGAATTGAGGTGACGTCATCCTCTGGATAAATCAGAAGGCTAGTCCGTGAGAATGGTTACCCCAGTTCAGGCAAGCAAGTGAGGCAAGGAGGTCTTCATGTCCCCTTCCCTACGGTCAAGTTCATTTAGTTTGTACAATTTCGACCTAGAGGGATACGAAACTTGAAGTACAAATTAGAAAAATTGTTTTCCTCTTCGGAAATATTTTTTTTTCCTGTATCGAGAAAGTGATATGTTGCAAAGTGGTGGGGGCTGTGGACCCCCAGACCCTGAATTTCCTGTAAACAACTTGCTTTTCTGTCTTTGCAACTGCTCTGAGCACGAGACTCTCAGGAGTTTCTGATGGCGGGGGAGCGGTTCCTGGCGGGTTTGGCTGGGGCGTGGCTGTCAGTTAAGGATCCCTATATAAGCTGCCCTGGAACATGATAAAGAGGGCATTCTTGTTTCAAGGATGATCTGTGTCTCTCTGTCTCTGTGTGTCCTTGTGTGTTTAAATCTCCAGGCCCTTGCCTGAGACTTGCTAACCGTCTTGTAATGCAGGCGCCACACTACACGCGTTGTACTGTAGTATGCATAGTACAGGCAGACCGTACACCAAGCATTCTGGATGGACACCAGAAAGGCCCTTAAGGCAAGAGCGTAAGTGTTGGAGTCCTGTGCAGCTGCACCGTAGGAGGCACACAACTAGTTCCTGGAGCAACTAGAGGCTGTCACCGTCCTCAGGATTTGCCCGCAGCTCCTTTTCGTTCCCTAGGTCCCTGATGCACGTGACACAGAACTGGGAAGGATCCTAATCACATTGCTTCCAGCTGCGGTGGGAAATCAAGCCATCAGTGACCCTGGCCTCTACTTCTAAAATAGTGGATTCTGAAGTCAGTGACAAAAGCCACTTTGAAGGGCGATGGCCTGGCATCCCTGATTTAAACAACAGGATAGAAACTTGAATATTCGCTTGGTTCGTCATTTCCTTATCTTTTAGTTGAGTTTCTTTACTGCATTTATTTGTTAACTGTGCTTGTGTGTGTGCACGCACACAAGTCTACCCAGATGAGAGAATAACTTTCGTTTTTTGTTGGTAGTGGTGTTTTTGTTTTGTTTTGTCTTGTTTTTTTGTTTGTTTTTGAGACAGGGTTTCTCTGTAGCTTTGGAGCCTATCCTTGGAACTAGCTTTATAGACCAGGCTGTCCTTGAACTCACAGAGATCAGCCTGCCTCTGTGAGTGCTGGGATTAAAGGTGTGAGCCACCACCGCCCAGCCTAGCTGAGAATAACTTTCAAGAGTCAGTTCTCTCCTGCTACCACGTAGGTCCCAGGCATTGAATGCCAGTTATCAGGTTTGGCAGCAAGCGCCTTCACCGGTGGCTGAGTCACTTCACCAGCCCTTGGTATTTTTTTCTAAAGTTGGGAACGAACCAATGACTTGCAGCATGCTAAGTAAGTGGTCTACCAATGAGCTACACTGGGGATCCTCTCTGTGTCTTTAATCAAAATGTGTATGTCTGTGAGTGTGCGTGTGTGTGGGTGTCAGATGAAAGTACAAAGTATGAAAACTTTATTTATAAATATTATCATGTTGCCTCTGTAATTAAGACACGTTGGAAACGCAGGGATGTTTAGTGTGACACATTTACAGGGACAAAATCTGTCTCTCACAAACCATCATTGCCTGCGATCTCTCACTAAAGTGAGCAGGGAAGCTGGGACGTGACAGCTTAAGTGTCCAGTCTGCGTCTATCTGATTGCTGTGTGCAAATGATGTGGAGAGTGATAGACAGATGAGGACACCAGTGTGCAAGTCCTTAGAGACGCCCCTTCACACGCATGCCGCCGGCTAGCAGACGCTGTCACACTTATCAGTGGATTCTAACACATAACACACTTGGCTGGAGCTCAAGGAGGAGGGGTACAGGAGGAGGAAGATTTCAAACAAAAGTCAGAAACAATGTCATTTTCTGGAAGCATGGGTGATAGGGGATCTCCCCCTGACCTCTGCTGTGTGTGTGTGTGTTTCCTGTTCACAGTGGCACGCTGCTCTTTCCCCTGTCTCAACTTCTATTTGGTAAAGAATTCTTTTATACATTATCTGAAGTTTATTCTGATGTTTGACCTATGGTGATAAAAAATTGTTCTTCCTCCCTATGCTCAAAGACACACCCTTTAAACTGTTTACAATCTGAACTGGGAGTAGTGTCACCGGCTTGGAGTCCCAGCTCTTGGTAACAGAGGAGGAACTAAACCAGACTCCACTGAGATTAACATGTGAAAGAAGTCGGTTTGCAGAGGAAGACCAAAGACCTTTCTAACCCAGGCTTCAGCGTGTGAATAGCGCATGCGTAGAAACAAAACTCTCAAACTACAACCCAGAGAGGGTGGGGACTGAAAATGACCATTTGCTGTCAGGATTCTTTCCTCAGCTCCCTAACCCACATCCATCCTTGGGCGAGCAATTCCTTTTTCTGTTTCTTCCCACCCTGCGCCTAACTTAAAAGGTAATATCCCCCTCCCCGCCCCCCACCCCGTGCGCCTCCACTGTTCCCTCCTCCCGGCCACTGCCCGTGTTTTCACTTGCGCTGTATTATAACCTGCACTGTACTCTTCTTTAAAACGCTAGTGAAGTAGTCCTGGTGTTTCTTTCCGAGTCTTTTTGTTTTGTTTTGTTGGTTTTGGAGACCGGGGGGGGGGGGGGTTCTTTTGCAGCCCTGGCTATCCTGGAACTCACTCTGTAGACCAGGATGGCCTCAAACTCTCAGAGATCCGCCTGCCTCTACCTCCCGAGTGCTGAATTAAAAGCATGTGCCACCACTGTCCGGCTCTGGGTCCATTGCTAAATTCTTGTATGAGTGAGACTAAGAACCTCAAAAGGGAGCCTCAGTTTCCCTAGTAAAACTGAAGAGTTCCAGGAGGAAAAAAAATCCACTGAGGTCTGTCATTAGAAGTCAGCCTGGACAATAAGTAAATAACCGAAGCTTCAGGACCTGAACGCCTTTACGCCTGTACTGTTTAAAACTGTCTTGGCTCCTCTCCCTTCTCCGGGCATCAGAACATTCCACCCGTATCCTGTGCAGGGGAAACACAAAACAAGCTTGACATTCAGTAACATTAGCTTCCACGGAATTTGAGAGTGATGGGAAGCTGTCGCTTCTAAACGTTTTCCTGTTTGTTTTGTTTTGTTTTTAAACATTTAGCCTTTATTCAGAATGTCCAGTAGCGTCATGGGAGTTAGATGGTGAGGTCTGCATAGTAGGTAATATGCCTTTTTAAGGACCATCTCTAGCAGCACAGCAAATTAAGCCCCGGAAAGAATTTGGCTCAACAGTCAGTCCTCTGCCTTGCTTTAAAGCGTACCCAGCCGGGGAGGAAAGGGGCGGGGAGTAGGGGTGGGAAAAGGCAGGGTTAAGCAATTTATTGTCAAGCATGACTTTTTTTTTTTTTTTTTAATTGCCAGAGTCTCTCTCCAGGCAGGGTTCACATGCTCAGAACTTTAGCTGGGCAGAGCTGGTTAAGCAAACAAACCCAGTCATTTGAATGCAATGATTAACAGGAAGCTGGGGAAGCAGGCACAGTTACCACCAGCCGTCCGCTGGGAGAAGAAGCTTGGCTCAGAGCTCTAGAGCAATGCATTGCCGG